AACATGCTGAAAATATAGGTGTGAGCCAATTGACTTGGCCTAATTTTTTGTTAAATGTATTTGTTTTTTGTTTATTTTCATTTCATTTTATTTTTTAGAGACAGAGTCTCACTCTGTCACCTAGGCTGGAGTGCAGCAGCCTGATCACAGCTCACTGAAACCTCAACCTCCCAGGCTCAAGTGATCCTCCCACCTCAGCCTCCCGAGTAGCTGGGACTACCAGCATGTGCCACCATCCCTAGCTATTAAATGTATTTGTTAAACACAGCAACAACATGTATGTCATCTCTGCCCCGCCTCACGGATAAGGCCTTCCAGTGTCACAGCTGTATGAAATGATTCCCCTCGCACATCATTGGGTAACTGAGGACCGGTCATTTTCCTCCCTAGACTGGGACCCTCAAAGGGAGTCACTGTGGCTTTCTGCACTGTCAGGGCCCAGCACAGGATCCCTGCTCTGAGACAGGGGCCCCTCACCGTCCTCACCCAGAACAGGCAGCAGCTGCTCTCAGCAGGGGGCGTTAGAGGCAAAGCTGCACCTTGCATGATGACAATTCTGACTCTGGAGATGCAACAAAACATTCTATTTAAGTTATTTTAATGCAGGTAATTTTAAGTACATTGCATATTTATTCCATCTTAAACAGTCTGTTGAGTGCGCATGATTCAGCTTTTGCCTCATCACTCAGTCGTTGTCATTACCAAATATTCGACTTGACCTTAGGAGCAGAGGATGTACACAGGACCATTCTTCCCACCACAGTCCCTGGCTTCCGACTCTCTGTGTTGTTGCTTTTTATTTAATTATTTTTTATTTTATTTTATTTATTTTTGAGATGGAATTTCGCTCTTGTTGCCCACACTGGAGTGCAACGGTGTGATCTTGGCTCACTGCAGCCTCTGCCTCCTGGGTTCAAGCAATTCTCCTGCCTCAGCCTCCTGAGTAGCTAGGGTTACAGGCGCATGCCACCATGCTCAGCTAATTTTTTTGTATTTTTGATAGAGATGAGGTTTCACCATGTTGGCCAGGCTGGTCTCGAACTCCTGACCTCCAGTGATCCACCAGCCTCCCAAAGTGCTAGGATTACAGGCATGAGCCACAGCGCCCAGCCATGCTGCTGCTTTTTACAGCCAGTGTTTTCTAGTTTCTTGTTCAGAGAGAGGTGTTAAGCCCACTTTATGATGTGATCAGTTTGCTTATTTCTATAGTTTCCAATTTCTGGTGGCCAGAAAGGTAGAAAACTGAGATATTTTTAAAAAGGCTGGGCGTGGTGGCTTACACCACCAGTCCCAGCACTTTGGGAGGTTGAGGCAGGAGGGTAGCTTGAGCTCAGTAGTGCAAGATTAGCCTGGACAGCTAGACTCCATCTCTTAAAAAGTAATTACATGCATGAAATATCAATACATAGATCAGAGTCCCAAAATATATAGCCAGAAATAAACCCTAGTGTATATGAAATGGTAATCTGTGTAGTACATCATAGTTTAAACATCACATAGTAGTGAGAAAAGAAATAATTATTTAATAAACTTGTAATGAAAAACATGGGTTCATCAGAGGGTGGAGAGAGGCATATTCCTCTTCTCACTTCATACCACCCTCCAAAATTAGTTCCAGTCACCCACCTGTTTAATTTAAAGAAAATAATGGAAAAGATATATGAATATTTTTAATTCAGGTGGAACAGAAAAGGCTGTACGGGAAGGGTGAAGGTAATAATGGAATGCCTGTTAGACTGTTAAGGCCCTTAAAAATGATGTCTTCAGCCAGGCTTGGAGGCCCACACCTGTAATCCCAGCACTTTGGGGGGCCGAGGCGGGCAGATCACAAGGTCAGGAGTTCGAGACCAGCCTGGCCAATATGGTGAAACCCCGTCTCTACTAAAAATACAAAAATTAGCCAGGCATGGTGGCACACACCTGTAGTTCCAGCTACTTGGGAGGCTGAGGCAGGAGAATTGCTTGAACCCACGAGGCAGAGGTTGCAGCGAGCCGAGATCATGCCACTGTACTCCAGCCTGGGTGACAGAGCAAAACTCTGTAAAAAAGAAAAGCCTGGTGAATATTGATATGGGCCATATTGTTATGGCTGCTCTTAGATCCCGGGAAACCAGCATCCATCACTTGTTCAATGACAGCAGCTCAGTTGTCTGCTGTCTTTCCCAGAGGACTTTGAACTCATCCTGTGGCCTCCCTTATAAAATCCTAAATTCCACAAAAAAAGGGTAAATTATTAAGGGGAAATAATCAGTGAACAAGGACTGAGATGCTCTCGGGAGTGAGGGGGCTGAGCTGAAGTTAAAGCCATGCCTTACATGGGTTGCAGAATGTGCACCAATCACAGCCTTTGTAGATTTCACTTCAGATCTCAGACTTCTTCAGCAGCCCAGGTCAATCACTTTGGGTGAAGACACCCTGGTGAGAAACTGGTCCTTCCCAGCATGGGCACCCAGGTGTGCGCTGTGTACAGTAGAATATGTCTCTCTCTGTGTAAATACGTGCCTTTACTTGAAATCTGTACCTTTTGTCCATGTGACCTCCTTGTAGGCCGATCAAATGAAGAGGAGGAAACTTCTGATTCTCCTCTAGAAAAGCAAACTCGATCTAAGTACTGCACAGAAACCTCCAGCGTCCACGGTGACTCACCCTATGGTTCTGGTACCATGGACACCCACAGCCTGGAGTCCAAAGCGGAAAGAATCGCAAGGTACAAAGCAGAAAGAAGACGACAGTTGGCAGAGAAATATGGGCTGACTCTGGATCCCGAGGCCGACTCCGAGTATTTATCCCGCTATCCCAAGTCCAGGAAGGAGCCTGATGCTGTTGAGAAGCGGGGAGGAAAAAGTGACAAACAGGAGGAGTCAAGCAGGGATGTGAGTTCTCCATACCCTGGGACAGAGACGATGGGGCTCAAGACCTGTGCAGGTGAATCCAAGGACTATGCCCTCCGCGGGTGTGATAGCGCTTCTGACCAGGAGGTGCTGCTGAACATAGAAAACCAAAGACAAGATCAAGAGCTGAATGCCACCCGGCAGGACCATGACCTGCCCCCAGCCGCCGAGAGTTCCTTGACCTTCTCTTTCTCTGGGCGAGAATCCTCCTTCACGGAAGTGCCACGGTCTCCAAAGCACGCGCAGAGCTCGTCCCTGCAGCAGGCAGCCTCCCGGAGCCCCTCCTTTGGTGACCCACAGCTACCCCCTGAGGCCCGACCCAGGTAAGCATCCAGCCCATGCTAACCACCCTGAACACAGGAGAATACCTTCTTTTTGCCTCTCTGTGTGATAGGGTTTGGGTATTCTTAGCATCCTGTGGAGGTCAAGGCTCACTGGAGAAATATCATGGTATGTGATTCTTCTTTCTTTTTTTTTCCGGAGACAGGGTCCCACTCTGTTGGCCAGGCTGGAATACAGTGGTGCCGTCACAGCTCACTGCAGCCTTGAACTCCTGGGCTCAAGCAGTCCTCCCACCTAAGCCACTTAAGTAGTTGGGAGAACAGACACATGCCACCATGCCCAGCTAAGTTTTACATTTTTTTCTGTAGAGACAGGGTCTCACTATGTTGCCCAGGCTGATCTTGAATTCCTGGCCACTAGAGATTCTCCTGTTCAACCTCCCAACATGCTGGGATTACAGGGATGAGCCACCACACCTGGCCTAAGATTCTTACATTTCCACAGTATCAAAACAGGCTCTACCAAAGCAGGAAGCCTGATGCTCTTTTGTTTCTTACGTTCTTTTCAAAAACAAACTGAATGGGTTTCATGGTCGCACTTTCATGGATGCCTCACTTCAGGACCCCTCTTACGGGTTTCCCACCTGCCTTTCATAGTGCTTTTCGTGGGTTTTCTGTAATCATACCTGAGACCAAGGATTGTTACTGATTGCTTTTGTTGCTGAGATTAGAATCACAGAGCAGAAGAAGCACCACTAACCTACAGAAGCGTCTCAGCGCAGGGCACAGGCATACAACTGCAATGTACACGGAATAGAACTAGAATGCTTAGTTCTGTAAGTATAGCACACACTAGGACACGGACGTGTGTGAGAACCCCGCATTAGAAAGATCAGCCATTAGACAAACCGCTGTGTAAAAGGATCCACTCAAGATAAGAGCCGCTCCCGTTTGGAGAAATTAAAAAAGGTACGAAATCAGAAAGTCAGATGCCAGAAGAGAATATGTGTTTATTCCCAGATTTACATTTTAAAAGTGTGATGGCCATAATAAAAAATGTAATTTACTTAACTGTCCTGCTTAAAGCTTTGGGGTAATTGTCTAAGTGGATCTTAAGGGTATTTTTCAGTTCGAACAACCAATAGCTTCCCAGGTGAATTGAGAAGGGATGAGAACCTAAGGTTAGGCAGATTCATTCTGAAAGAAGAAGGCTAATATGTGGGAAGCACCCCTATTTTTTTCCCTCTGGGATAGAGGGATGCACACTGGCTCATCTCTAAGTGGCAGTAACACATCTGAAGCAGATCCTTGTGGTATTGAAATTTATTTATTTATTTATTTTTATTTTTTGAGACAGAGTTTCGCTCTTGTTGCCCATGCTGGAGTGGGTGCAATGGCACAATCTTGGCTCACCGCACCCTCTGCCTCCCAGGTTCAGGGGTTCCAGCAACTCTCCCGCTTCAGCCTCCCAAGTAGCTGGGATTACAGGCATGCGCCACCACACCTGGCCAATTTTGTATTTTTAGTAGAGACGGGGTTTCTCCATGTTGGTCAGGCTGGTCTTTGAACTTCCAGCCTCAGGTGATCCACCCGCCTCAGCCTCCCAAAGTGCTGAGATTAGAGGCATGAGTCACCACACCTGGCTGGTATTGAGATTTATTAAGCCAAAGACCTGTCACTTGAATACTTGAGCACCCAGACTAAAATATTTAGAGAGAGCAGCTTACAAGACAATGAAATACTATAGATCCCAAGGATGTATTCTGAGGATCTTTGTTCAGCCTTTAGCTTTAGCTATTGGAATATAGGGACTATGAGTTACTGTGTCATTTTTTTTTAATGAAGGTCTTTTGTTTGGGGAATTTGCATTTCATCATAGAAACTATGTTCTTGTATTAGTTACTCTACCAAAGGAAGTCCTTCATGTATTTTTTGAGGAGGCCAAAGAACCTAACAGACTCCAATGTAGAAAGAATATTAGAGATCTATAACTACACTGGTTTAAAAGAAATGAGGAATTTAATTTCAGATTGCCACATGTTGACAGCTGTTGAAATTCTTATCACGGTATCTGAGTTAGTTACCCAGATCACATATAATAGATTCTCAATAAGATTTTAAATCAGTTATAATAGTAATTAAGACTTTGTTAAGCATTCCAAGTAAAAAGACAGGATACTTCATATTTTGTGTTGAGTTAAAATCTTAATATTCAAAAATGAGTATAACTTGTCTTAAGATCTAGACAAAAGCATTTTTGACATATTTATTCCTGTAACAAAATAAAGCCACTTCTTCATAAGTTATTTTGAAGATGCATATTACCTAGAAGTTTTCAAAAGCCAAGTGTTAGCTTCACAGCACTTTAGTTTCATGAAAAAGATTTAAAAGGATTGAGAAATTATAAAGGACTTTTAGAAGAGACACAAGCCTTATTTTCTAAGCCATTTAAGGTATACAATTCTATTATTCATAGACAAAGAAACACAAATTAGTTTATATGTTTAGTAGGAAAATACCTGAGATATATTTACATAAAGAGGGATGGAAAATGTGTGACAAACTTGACATTTAGAAAAATTAAGATTTACGGCCAGGCACGGTGGTTCACGCCTCTAATCCTAGCACTTTGGGAGGCTGAGGCAGGTGGATCACGAGGTCAAGAGATCAAGACCATCCTGATCAACATGGTGAAACCCCGTCTCTACTAAAAGTACAAAAATTAGCTGAGCATGGTGGCACACACCTGTAGTCCCAGCTACTCGGGAGGCTGAGGCAGGAGAATTGCTTGAACCCAGGAGGCAGAGGTTGTGGTGAGCCAAGATTGCGCCACTGCACTCCAGCCTGGGTAACAAGAGTGAAACTCCATCTCAAAAAAAAAAAAAAGAAAAAAAAAATTAAGATTTACGCTGTAATGACAGCACTTATTCAGCTTGTAAAAATGGATTTACAATGGATAAAATTCTGCTTAGACATTCTTTATCTAGAGGCAGGAAATTCAAGTTTCAGAAAGTCATTGTCTGACTCCTATTTAGGAAGAAGCAAGATGAACCAAAAAAATACATTGTAACCGAAAACAGTAAAGGAGGAAACCTCCTAGTGACCTAAATAACAGTTTGTGAAAATAATAATGTCATCTGATACGGAAACATGTAACCGAAAACTTTACAATTAACAAGGGAAGAAAAAAGTATCCGTAAATAATTTTTAATGTTGTGATTTTTTGTGGATTTTTTTTCCGCCACGAAAATGGAATGTTTTTCTCACTGCTACACTCTCTTATCATCTCGCTCTGCCAGACTTTTTGGCTGTTAAATCTCTGAATCCACACATTCCCATTTAATCATTTTATTCTGTGCTTGCTAGGCTGTTTTATTATTTACATATGAATATACCATCAAAAGGCCACCAATAGTGTCCTAAACATTCAAATGTGAGCCTCATCTCCAATACTCAGTTTTTGAATGTGCTCACATACACTAACACCTGTGCACACCTGTGCTATACAAAGAATAATCATAGATTCTTTTTTTTGGGGGGGGGGGTGAAGGCTCGCTCTGTTGCCCAGGCTGGAGTGCAATGGCGCAGTATGGGCTCATTGCAACTTCCGCCTCTGGGGTTCAAGTGATTCTCCTGCCTCAGCCTCCCAAGTAGCTGGGATTATAGGGGCCCACCACAACGCCCAGCTAATTTTTGTATTTTTAGTAGAGATGGGGTTTCACCATGTTGGTCAGGCTGTTCTGGAGCTCCTGATCTCGTGATCCACCACCCTCGATCTCCCAAAGTGCTGGGATTACAGGCATGAGCCACCACGCCTGGCCAATAATCATTAATTCTTTTTTTTTATTTTTTTTTTTTGAGACGGAGTTTCGCTCTTGTTACCCAGGCTGGAGTGCAATGGCGCGATCTCGGCTCACCGCAACCTCCGCCTCCTGGGTTCAGGCAATTCTCCTGCCTCAGCCTCCTGAGCAGCTGGGACTACAGGCACGTGCCACCATGCCCAGCTAATTTTTTGTATTTTTAGTAGAGACGGGGTTTCACCATGTTGACCAGGATGGTCTCGATCTCTTGACCTCGTGATCCACCCGCCTCGGCCTCCCAAAGTGCTGGGATTACAGGCTTGAGCCACCGCGCCCGGCCAATCATTAATTCTTATAGTTCACTATACTATACTCTTTAAGCATTATAGGCAAAATAATAGTCTTTAGGACAATATTTAGCTGAGTAATAAATTGATTTCACAGTCTTTAGTATTCAGTTTATATGATAAAGATGATTTTTTAAAAATTAGTTAACTGATTAGTTGACATTATAGGATCTTTAGCTTAGAAATTCTGTTAGATGCCCAGGAATTCAGATGCACACATTGTTCTGAAGAAAACTAAGAATGTGCATAGTAACAAAATAGGTGAAATAGGGAATAGTAAGACACTTCCAGCCCCACCTCTCCAACCTTTCCAAACCTGTAAACTTGGAATTTCAGAAATAGTATTTGCTGGAGAGGTGATGTTACTGATATGAACCATTCTTTGTTAATTCCACCAGTGAATTTTAGAATAAAATCCAAAGAGATTCTGGTCCTATGGATCATTCAAATTTTTAAACATCTGAGCTTGTGCTACTACTAGAAATTCCAAATCCAAAGCTCTTGTTGAATTTGCTACTTTGTACATCTCATGTATCTATATAAAGGAAATGCACATAAAGGAAATGCACTGTCTTTGTTACTTTTATGAAGAAACTTTGTTACTTTTATGAAGAAACTCACTGTCTCCAGTCCTGCTGCTGCCTTTGCTCAGCATCTGGCCCACACTCTCTGTTCTCAGGGAACTACATGGACTGGCAAAGAGAGTGAAATGGAAGGTAGACCTCGTTTTTTAGTGAGGACCCACTCTAGAAAACCCCGTTTGTTTGTTTTGTTTGTCCTTTCTCTACTGCAGCCGCTTACCACTCCTTTCTCCCTAACAAATTGTATCCTTGGTGGTCAGAACACGATATGGAAGTTACATGCAGAGCTGAGGCTGACATTGGACCCCTGGGAG